TCCCCCCCTCCGAGTGCCAGGCCAGTGCCGGGCTGAATAGCCAGCCCCCACAACTGGCCCGACCCCTCTCCTCTGGCTGGCCCAGTGCCAACCCAGGCCACCTCTGGCCACCAGCGGGCCCAAGTTCAGGGCTGCCAGCTAGAGCTGAGCCCCCAGCTCCCCGTGGGCTTCAGGTAGAGAGGGAGGGTGGGGCCTCTGGGCACAATATGGGCAGTGCCACAGCCTGAGTCAGGGGAGGCTTAGCCTGCCCTGGCTTATGAATCCTGCCGCCCACGTACCTAAGTTAGAAAGATATGGTCTTTCTATCCTCAGTGAGTTTGCACTGTAACGTCAATGGGAGCACTCGTGTGTAAAGTTAAGCACATACACAAGGGTTTACAGAATCAGGGCCTAAAAAAGGGCAAGTGACATATGAACCACAGTAGATGAATGATACAACCAAATATACCGTATTAAAAGTAATACTTATATAAAATAAGTGCCAGCTAATCCCATCTACCTGTCATGCTTTCATTACCTGTCTTTCTTACAGGCATGAGTGTCGGAGTGAGTATTTGAGGGTAGAGGTTTACCAGGTCAGGTTAGGTAGCATGCTGTAAGCATAAGAGGCCACATAGAAGAAGGCACAGAGTTGTTTGGGTGAGAAGCTGGCAGATGGGTGCATCAGGCCAGCATTGCTGGTGGAGCAGAGACGGTGAGGTATGAGGCAGTACGATTCAGAGTGAGACAAGAGGTAAGACACAAGACAAGTATGGTGGGATGGAGCTCAGGAGGGCCTCAAAAGTGTGGACAAGAAGATTGAACTCGAGGTGATGAAATAAGGGGAGCCAGTGGAGGAATCAAATTGGGGTACGATATGGTCAGAGAAAGATGATCATAGATACAGCATGTTGTGTGGATCTGAGGACTGTGATCTGGGAGAAGAGCAGGTTACAGTAATCAAGAAGGGTGAGGATGTGGACAACAGTTTGGGCTGTCTAGACTAAAAGAGGAGGGCGGATCTTTGAAATGTTCTGGGAGAAGAATTGGTGACATTTGTTCATGGCTTGGATGTGCAGGGCAAGAGAGAGGGAAGAGTCAAATCATCTCCCAGGTAACAGGACGGAGTGATAGAGAGGTAGACGACATTATCAAAAGTGACAGAAAATTGGGGGACTGGAGAGAGCTTGGGAAGAAAAGTCAGGAGTACAGCTTTACTCATTCTATGTTAATGGGAAGACAACCAGGTGGAGATATTAGAAAGACAAGCTGAGATGTGAGAATGGAGTGAGAGAGAGAGGTCGGGGTGGAGAAGTAGATCTGTGAGTGATCAGCACAGAGATGGCAGCTGAAACCATATGAATCAATGAGATCCCATAGAGAGCATGTACAAGGAGAAGAGGAGAGGGTCAAGGAGAGAACTCTTTGACACCCTCCTTCAAGGGTATGGGAGTAGAGAGGAAGCCCCTCTTCTCCCCAGAAAGAGGCTGATCGTAGATCCAAGAGGAGTTTTGAAAGCCAAGAGTGAACACAGTTGCCAGGAGTGCTGAAATATAACAATAGGTAACCTTGTAATATATAAGAGTGCTCATAGGCACGTATGTAGAGCACAATCCAGCAAACTCACAGGAGTAAAACGATGGAAGTCACAGTTAGATCATAGATTTAACAATGTTGTTACTATTAGATATATTTTTGTATATTTTATTAATGTTTTTCTTTGGAAAAAATGGGAACAAAAATGTTGATGTGATAATGTTGCCAACTTTTGCAATGAAATCATGAGTTTTCCAATATTTGATGTTGTTCTCAAAACCCCCTCTCCTAGCTTCATGTGTTTAGGTAAGAATCTCAGATTGCATTAAAGAAAGAAAGAAAGAAAGAAAGAAAGAAAGAAAGAAAGAAAGAAAGAAAAGTGTACGTTTCTAGCCATCCTGGGATGGAGAAAAGCTTGAAAAGCTTTCTAATTAGAAAATAAGTTTTAAAAACACACTACATTGTTGATAAATGCAGAAAAAATCACCCCACTATTGAATAAAATATATAATATTTAGGGTTGTCAATTAATCGCAGTTAACAATTGCGATTAACTCAAAGAAATTAATCACGATTCATCGCTGTTTTAATCACACTGTTAAACAATAGAATACCAATTAAAATTTAATAAATATTTTGGATGTTTTTCTGCATTTTCATATATATTTTAGTCTGTGTTGTAATTGAAATCAAAGTGTATATTATTTTTATTACAAATATTTGCACTAAAAATGATAAACAAAAAGAAATAGCATTTTTCAGTTCACCTCATAGAAGTACTGTAGTGCAATCTCTTTATCGTGAAAGTGCAACTTACAAATGTAGATTTTTTTTTGTTTCAGAACTGCACTCAAAAACAAAACAATGCAAAACTTCAGAGCCTACAAGTCCACTCAGTCCTACTTCTTGTTCAGCCAATCGCTAAGACAAACACGTTTGTTTACATTTACAAGAGATAATGCTGCCCTCTTCTTATTTACAATGTCACCAGAAAGTGAGAACAGGCATTTGCATGGCACTTTTGTAGCTGGCATTGCAAGGTATTTATGTGCCAGATATGCTAAACGTTCATATTCTGGCTTGCCGTGTTGTAGAGAAGAAGGGTTCTGTGGTTAAGGTAGAGGAATGAGAATATAGAGACCTGGATTTAATTTTCAACTCATCTATGGCTGTCCTGTGTAACCTTAGGAGAATCTCTTAGTCTCTCTCTACTATTCATCTTTAAAATGGAAATACTAACACAGTGCTTCCCTGCTTCACATAGAATCATAGAATCATAGAATATCAGGGTTGGAAGGGACCTCAGGAGGTCATCTAGTCCAACCCCCTGCTCAACGCAGGACCAATTCCCAACTAAATCATCCCA